CCCGCTGAGCTGTCCTGTCTGGAGCCCCCTCGACAGGTCACGGATCCCAGTCAGAGCGCACCCCATGCCCAGCGCCGGCTGAGTCCACCCCATGGTTGCCAAGTGGGAATGCGAGCCCAGTGCCCTGAGATCTGGTGTTTCCAGAAAAATAAGAAAAACCAGAGATCCGGATTTTAAGTAAAATCTTTCCAATATATTCATTGGCAGTTAATTTAAAAACTAATTTCAAATGCGATTACGATCAAACAGAAGTCCTCTGTGAGCCAGGGGCCTGCAGTCCCCACGCCGGTGGGCAGACCAGAGCGCTGGCAGCTTCCCGATCCCCCACCAAACCCAGGGGCCTGGAGCGGACGTGGCTCTGCAGGGGTGGCCCGCACCGCCACCCGCCACCCGGATGTTAGGGCTGCTGCCGGAGCTCGGCCTCACCCTGTTTGTTCAAGGAGGGGCGAGAGCGGTGAGCTGGCCCAGCAGGGGCCAGGTGGAAGGGCAGCTCCAGCCCCTCCCCCCAGCACCCCAGCCTCCATTTGGGGGTGTGCAGCCTGGCACCCAAAGCCTGAGCTGCCTGGGGAGGCAGAAGGAAGGGGCCGTCCTCAGAGAGGCAGACAGTGTGGCCGAGAAAGAGATTGGTGCTGGGATCTCCGAGATGGTGGTTCAAGTCCCAGTCCTGCCATTCGCTGCCTGCGTGGCTCATTGCCTTGCCTTCCTGACCCTCTCCCTCACAGGCCCGAAGGTGAGAACAGCAGCCTGGTCTCCCAGGGCCTACGGACCGCGGCTGTGCCTTTGGATGTAAAGGCCTTCCGTCTTCTCTGGGAAACCAGAAGGAACTGGGTGGGGGAGGGGAGGCACTTTGGACACAGTGGGAGCTGGGAGGTCTGGGCTGCGGCTCCCGCTTCACTGTAATGAGTCCCTCTCTAGGGTCAAGGAGATCAATGGGTGGAGCCCACAGCTTCCCCAGTCGTCCTTCCTGCTCTCTCTGTCTCAGGGGCCCGGGAGTCACAGCCAGCCCTGCCTGGGGCAAGAGCAAGGGGTGGTCCCAGGCCTCTCAGAGGAGGTGCCTTTGTTTCCCACTGCAGGTCCAGAGCCTCAGGCCGGAGAGCCTCCTGCTCGTGTCCACCCTGGACGGAAGTCTCCACGCCCTAAGCAAGCAGACTGGGGACTTGAAGTGGACACTGAGGGATGGTGAGCAAGGGGCGGTCGCTCCTTCCTCCTTGGACCCTGGGTTAGAGTGGTGCCACTGTGGCACAGAGGGTGAGAACATGGGGTCTGGAACCCCACGAGCCAGTGTCTGCCGGCAGCTTCGCCACTTAGCAGCTGTGTGGCCTTGGGGAAGTCACTCTACCTTTCTGAACATCAAGGTCCTCACTGTAGAATGAAGCCACGGGTAATGGCCCTCCCTCGCAGAGCTCCGGGGAGATTACAGTACCCGCAGGGCACGCGCTTGGGCTGGGGCCTGGCACTCGGTAAGCGCCCAGCCAGTAGGAGCTGTGATTGTTGGTGGGAGTCGGAGGGGGCAACTCACGCTCCCCGTGCCTCCCCTCAGATCCCATCATCCAAGGACCAATGTACGTCACAGAGTAAGTGAACCTGCGGCCTTTTAAGGAGGGGCACCTGGGAGATGGGGGAGCCCTGGCATCTGGAGGGAGTGTGGATGGGGTGGGGTGCATGATAGACATAAGGGAGCACTGGGCCCAGTGCTCTGTGGTGCTTCCTGCAAGGGTGGCTCCTACTCGCTACGAAATTGGAGGGAAAGGGCGCCTTTGTGAAACCAGGACACGTGCATCCACCTCCCCCCCATTCCTCTCTGCTCACAGAACAGCCTTTCTCTCGGACCCCTCTGATGGCAGCCTGTACACCTTGGGGACCCAGAAACAACAGGGACTGATGGTGTGTGTCCTTCCGTGCTTGGTGGTGGGAGGGCCGGGGTTCTGTTAGGCAGAGCACTGAGGGGGCAGGGGAACAGTCTGGCCAGAATTAGAGTGTTCTGCAGAGGATGTGAGGGCTCGGCACATAATGGGGAGGCTGTACAGCCTCATCCCGCACACGCTCACCTCTCACCCCTCCAGCTCATCCCGCACACGCTCACCTCTCCCCTCTCCAGCCTCATCCCGCACACGCTCACCTCTCACTCCTCCGGCCTCATCCCGCACACGCTCACCTCTCACTCCTCCGGCCTCATCCCGCACACGCTCACCTCTCACTCCTCCGGCCTCATCCCGCACACGCTCACCTCTCACTCCTCCGGCCTCATCCCGCACACGCTCACCTCTCACTCCTCCGGCCTCATCCCGCACACGCTCACCTCTCACTCCTCCGGCCTCATCCCGCACACGCTCACCTCTCACTCCTCCGGCCTCATCCCGCACACGCTCACCTCTCACTCCTCCGGCCTCATCCCGCACACGCTCACCTCTCACTCCTCCGGCCTCATCCCGCACACGCTCACCTCTCACTCCTCCGGCCTCATCCCGCACACGCTCACCTCTCACTCCTCCGGCCTCATCCCGCACACGCTCACCTCTCACTCCTCCGGCCTCATCCCGCACACGCTCACCTCTCACTCCTCCGGCCTCATCCCGCACACGCTCACCTCTCACTCCTCCGGCCTCATCCCGCACACGCTCACCTCTCACTCCTCCGGCCTCATCCCGCACACGCTCACCTCTCACTCCTCCGGCCTCATCCCGCACACGCTCACCTCTCACTCCTCCGGCCTCATCCCGCACACGCTCACCTCTCACTCCTCCGGCCTCATCCCGCACACGCTCACCTCTCACTCCTCCGGCTCATCCCGCACACGCTCACCTCTCACTCCTCCGGCCTCATCCCGCACACGCTCACCTCTCACTCCTCCGGCCTCATCCCGCACACGCTCACCTCTCACTCCTCCGGCCTCATCCCGCACACGCTCACCTCTCACTCCTCCGGCCTCATCCCGCACACGCTCACCTCTCACTCCTCCGGCCTCATCCCGCACACGCTCACCTCTCACTCCTCCGGCCTCATCCCGCACACGCTCACCTCTCACTCCTCCGGCCTCATCCCGCACACGCTCACCTCTCACTCCTCCAGCTCATCCCGCACACGCTCACTTCTCTCCTCCAGCTCATCCCGCACACGCTCACCTCTCACTCCTCCAGCTTCATCCAGTGCACGTTCACTTCTCGCTTCTCCAGCCTCATCTCTCAGTGCCCTCTTTCTTTTCTTTCTCGCTTACGAGGGGGTTGGTGTCGGCACATTGTACCATCCTGGAGACTCAAGTGGCTGGAGGGGCTACCGCAGCCTGACATCCTGTAGCTTGAATGAATGAATGAATGAGTGAGTGAATGAATGAATGAACTTCCCGCATCCACAATAGGTGCCCTCAGTTCCTTTAAGGAACACGGGCCTTACCCGTCCAGGTGGTGAGGGCCTCTTGTCGGTGGCCCTTTATCCCCAGGAGCCCCAATTCTCTTCCTCAGGACTGTGTCCCTGGGATACGTCTGGCAACAGCTCTGTACATGCAGTTTTGAGCTTTTTCTGTGTGTGTAGCTTTTCATTTTGATATAATTTCAAATATAGGAAAAATGCAAGAATAGTACCAAGAAATTCTTTATTCCCTTCACCCAGATTCATTGATTTTTAACATCACATTTGCTTTATTGTTCTCTCTCGGTAGATGATAGATTAATAGATAAAATGCTGAGAATATTACTTTTTTTTTTCATGTAAAATGTCTTTTTCCGAACCTTTCAAGAGCGAGTTGCAGGCACTATGCCCTTTACTTCTAAAGCATCGTTGTGTATTTCTGAGAACAAGGCCTCTTTCCCACGCAGCCTGCGTGTAGATGACTGAAGCCCGGAGGGTTAGCCATGGCGCATAGCATTGCCTATTCGCAGCGCATGTTGACTCTGTGAAGTGTCTTAGTGGTGTCCCTCACTGTTTCCCGGCCCAGGGTCCCGGCCAGGGTCCCTGGCCCATGTGGTTGTTGCGTCTCTCGGTGTCCTTAAATCTACAACCATTCCCCGGCTCCTCAAAGGCATAGCCCAGCTACTTAGCCTCTCTGGAACATGGAAACAATAACAACTACCTAATGGATAGGTTGGGTGAGTTTTTCTGCTCTTACTCCTCCCTGGAATGTTTCCCTCTCCTCAGAAACTGCCGTTCACCATCCCCGAGCTAGTCCACGCCTCCCCATGCCGCAGCTCCGATGGCGTCTTCTATACGGGTAAGCGCCTCCCCAGCCCCAGCCTGTGGGGCCAGGCCCAGCACCAGGGATGGGACCTAGGTCCTGACCGGCCATCTGGGCACAGGAGGAACAGGCTGCACACCCTCTTCCGGGCCATCTTGAGGGCTGGCACGCTTTCCACCTCCACAGGCCGAAAGCAGGATGCCTGGTTTGTGGTGGACCCGGAGTCAGGGGAGACACAGATGACACTGACCACAGAAGGCACCTCTACGCCCCGCCTCTACATCGGCCGCACACGTGAGTCTGGCCCCAGCAGCTCCCCCCGCCCCAGGCAGCCCCCTCTTTTGCTCTATCCAGGCCTGGCAATTGCTATGCAGGTTGAGTTGGGCCAGTCTGTCAGTTTGTCAGTCAACGAGTATTTCACTGACAAAGAACTGGAGATAGAGCAGTAACCAAGATAGACCAGCATGCTCCTCCCATGCCCCCGGCCTCCACCCCAGGCTGGGTGCTCAGAGGCCCCACCCCCACAAGATGAGACCCGCCGAGGTGGGCATGGGAGGAGCATCAGGTGGGCATGCCTGGTAACCTTGCTTCGGGGCATCCTCAGAGTACACGGTCACCATGCAGGACCCCCAGGCCCCCGGCCAGCGCTGGAACACCACCTACCGCCGCTACTCAGCGCCCCCCATGGACGGCTCCCCTGGGAAATGTGAGTGCCACCGTTCTCTGGAGCAGTGTCCCCAACTCAGGGATCTCTGAGTGGCATCCGTGACCAAGCTCACCACATTTTTACCCATTTGACCACTTCAGGGACCCCCACATACTGAATGACCCCCTCAACACGCAGCAGGACCCTCCTGTACCTGAGCAGCCCTGATATCATCACTCCTCCATGCTCCACGTGAGCCACACCAGGTCTCCCTACATCCTGGGTGACTCCAAGCAACCCACACATCCTGAGCAGTCCCCAAGCGCCCTGAGTGACCCCCAGTGTTGAGTGACCCCTGAAAGGTGACCCTGAGTGACCTTTCCCCGATAAACCTGACCACCTCCTTGATATTATGGCTGTCCTACCAGACTTCCTGATTTACCTCACAGGGCCCCTTGGCACCCCTGGTTCCCTGAATCCATCACTTCACATGAGAGATAACACTGACACATCGCACGTGGCACCCCCAGGGCCCTGGCTGACCTCCGTCACACTCTAAGTGCTACCCAAGCAACCCACATGCCTCCAAGTCACCCTGATACTCATCCCAGGTGGTCATCAGGTAGAGCATGAGTGACTGACTGCTCCACATCCTAAGTGATCCCTGCCAACCAACACGAGTCACCTTCACATGACCTTGACTGACCCCTATATCCTACACAGCTCCCAGTTGACCCCAAGGATCAAAGTGCCCCCAGTGAACTGACTGACCTTCCCATGTCCTGCAACCCTCCAGGTGATCTCACCTGAGCTCCACACCTGAGTGACCCTCCTGATGGCCCAGCCCCAGAGCAGCTTCCCACCGCAAAATGCTCTGAGGTACCTCCCGTCAGAGCTCCCTGATCACACCTCCATCTTTCTTGGCAGACATGAGCCACCTGGCATCCTGTGGGATGGGCCTGCTGCTAACTGTGGACCCAGGAAGCGGGGCAGTGCTGTGGACACAAGACTTGGGCGTGCCTGTGATGGGCATTTACACCTGGCACCAGGACAGCCTGCACCAGCTACCCCATCTCACCCTGGCGCGGGACACCCTGCACTTCCTAGCCCTCCGCTGGGGCCACATCCGACTGCCTGCCTCCCGCCCCCAGAACATAGCCACCCCCTTCTCGGTCTCGGACATCCAGCTTCTGTAGGTGCTCATGCCTGGGGACTGGGGAGGACCCCCTGGAAGGGTTGTAAAGCCCAGGCCCAATGGGCAGGCGTGATGTCTGACCATGACACACCAGTACAGTTGAACGAGGGGTCACAATATTTCAAGCTGGCTATTGACCAGCCAGTTTGGCTATTAATAAATAACTAGTGCCCTCACCGTCCCTTGTGTGTTCCAGGACCCCCCAGACAGCCCCACTGTTCAGCAAGTGACAGGGTCACATCTGGCCGAGGAGGGGCCTCAGGTCTCCACTCCAGTGCCACAGCGGGCATCTGTTCTGCTTGGCAGGTGCTGCGCCTTATTGGTTGCTTGAGACTAACTGTCACCCTGCCTTAAAGCACTCAGAGCCTTAGAGTCCCCATCTTAGGGAGCCGAGAGACAGGCTGGGAAAATCAAGCATTATCCTCTCATTCAGTTTGTTCTGCAAATATTAATTGAGCACTTACTGTGTACCAGTCACTTGTTAGGCTCTGGGAGGATAGTAATGCTGTCAGTGTTCCTCCTTACAGAAATCTTAGAGTCTAGTAGAGGAGACAGGTGTGTAAAGAGGGAATTGTGGGATGCCAAAGGGTGGGATAAGAGAATAGGTTTGCCACGGGCATGCACGGGAAGAGCACCTACATTGAGACGGGGGCAGGAGGGAGTGGTGGGACACGTCCTGGAGGAAAGGGCATCTAAATAGAAACCTAAAGGATAAATAGGAAAAGGGGGGGCGGCTTCGAAACAACAAACATTTATTATTTTTTAAGATTCTGTGAGTCAGCTGGCTGGTTTTCGGGTCTGGGGGGGGTTAGTTCATGTGTGCGGTCAGCTGGTGGCTTGGCTGAGTGGATGCCCTGGGATGGTCTCACTCCCCGTCTCATAGTTGATGGACTATTGCCTAGAGGGTGTCAGATAAGGTCTCTCTGACCTCATCAGGCTAGCCTGGCTTCCTCCATGGTGGTCTTGGGGTTCCAAAGAGCAACACGAGAGGACAAGCCCCATTACACAAGCACTTCTAAAACCTCTACTTGTACCGCATTTGCGATGGTCTCATTGTCCAACGCAAGTCACATGGCCAAGACCAGAACTGACGTGGGAGGGGACAATACAAGAACATGGTGCAACGGAAACAGCCACAACCACTACTCATCCCTCCCCTGCTCTCCCCCACCAGGATGACGCTGTATATAGGGAAGGATGACGCTGGCTTCTATGTTTCCAAAGCGCTGGTTCACACAGGGGTGGCCTTGGTGGTGAGAAGGGCTCTTCGAGGGGTTGGAATGAGGGGATGGAGCAGGAGAGCCCCCTCACTCAGGACTCTCCATCTTCTGCCATAGCCTCGTGGACTGACCCTGGCCTCCATGGATGGCCCCACCACAGATGAGGTGACACTTCAAGTCTCAGGAGAGCGAGAGGGCTCACCCAGCACAGCTGTCAGATACCCCTCAGGCAGTGTGGCCCTCCCTAGCCAGTGGCTGCTCATTGGTGAGATTCCCCAGCTCAAATTTGGAATAGATGACGATGAAAGATGTGACCCTGGCTTCTGATCTGGAAGACAGAGGTCACCTTCAGCCCATGGACTTTTTCCCTGCCCTTTAGGACACCATGAGCCACCCCCAGTCCTGCACACCACGATGCTGAGAGTCCATCCCACCCCAGGGAGTAGAACTGCTGAAACTAGACCCTCCAAGAGCATGCAGGCCCCAGCCCTCTTATTGGAGGTCAGTGCTAAAAGGGCAGAGGGCACCCTGGCTGGTTTGACTCAATGGATAGAGCGTTAGCCCACGGACTGAAGGGTCCCAGGTTCAATTCCAGTCAAGGGCACGTAACTCAGTTGCAGGTTTGATCCCAGACCCCAGTCAGGGCATGTGCCAGAGGCAACCCATCGAGGTGTCTCTCTCACATCTATGTTTTTCTCTGTCTGTCCCCCTCCGTTCTACTCTTCCTAAAAATAAATGGAAAAATATCCTTGGGTGAGGATTAACCTAAAAAAATAAATACATGAAAGGGCAGAGGGATGGAGGGAGACTGGCAGGTGAGTGGGCAGCTATAGGACATTTTCCTTGGCCTTCTATGATTAACATTTGGAGTGGGTCAGTTGACCTCACACAATTTCCCAAAAGGAAAACTATTTTTCTGTTGGATGTGTCAAAAAGATATTGGTCACCTAAACTGTGAAACATGGGTCACAGTTTTCTTTACTCTTCTTCAGTGTAAAAGTTACAAAATGGTTATCTAGTGAGAAAATTAAAACAGAAAAACTATAAAAGCATTCTCTCCTAGGAGAGAATTGGACAAGAATCACTAGCAGTTCAAGGTTAGAAGGAACAGCCATGCCCGGCTAGTGTGGCTCAGTGGTTGAGTGGCGACCTATGAACAAGATCAAGGTTCGATTCCTGGTCGGGGCACATGCCTGGGTTGGGGACTTGATTTCCAGTGTGAGGCCTGCAGGAGGCAGCCAATTAATGATTCTCTCTCATCATTGATGTTTCTGTTTGTCTGTCTCTCTCTCCCTCTCCCTTCCTCTATGAAATCAACTTTATTTTTATTTTTTATTGGTTTCAAAGAGGAAGGGAGAGGGAGAGAGAAAGAGAAACATCAATGATGAGAATCATTGATCGGCTGCCTCTTGCAACTCCCCCCACTGGGAATCAAGCCCGCAACCCGGGCGTGTGCCCTGACTGGGATCAAACCAGCGAACTCCTGGTTCATAGGTGGACGCCCAACCACTGAGCCTCAAACCAGCGAGCTCTTGGTTCATAGGTGGACGCCCAACCACTGAGCCACGCCAGCCGGGCTATGAAATCAATTTTTTTTTTTAATTTTAAAAGAAGGAACAGCCATGATCTGGAACAATAATTCCCAAATCTGGTTGCTCATTAGAATCACTGAATGCCCACTCCAGTCCCATGAATTAAGAATCTCTGGAGATGGATACCTACATTTTTTGTGTTGCCTCAAAAAGTATTTTCAGTGACACCCCGGGAGATGCTGGTCACCAGCTGGGTTTGGAAGCCCGACCCCCTGGGGCAACCTGATGCTTCAGCACCACGGAGAGCGCCTCTCCGCACCGTGCGGGCTCTCAGCGCTGCCTCTTCAGCACCACGGAGAGCGCTCTGCCCCACATCAGGCGGGCCGCTCACCCACTGGCCCTTAAAGCAAACCCAGCCCTGTACTGGCGACGAAGGGTGAAGGGTTCCCCCGAGAGAGCAGGTGCTGAGCGAAAGCCCGTGTGTTCCAGCTCCTGAGCCTCAGTCGGGAGGAACTGTGGGACCGGGAGCTGCACCCTGAGGAGAACGCCGCAGGCTTGTATCTAGGACTGGGACCCCGAGACCTGCTGCTGGCCAGCCTCACTGCAGTCCTCCTGGGAGGGTGGCTTCTCTTCTTACTGAGGCAGGTAAGCCTGTCGCCCAGCCTCGGGCCTGCCGTCGGGTAGCCGAGGGAGCCCTCTGCCCTCCTTTCCAAGACGCTCAGCAGCTCCGATTCTGCCCCCTGCCTTCCTCCAAGCGGCGCCCGAGCCCCCTGCTATGTTCATGGTCCGGTGCAGGGCGTCTCGGGCACAGCTGCTGGGCCCCCCACGGGCAGGGCCTAGCCAGGGCCTGTGTTTCAGCAGCAGCAGCTGGCGGAGAAGCAGCAGCAGGCCCTCCTGGCACCTGCGGGCCCCCCTCCCACCTCACCGGGTGCTCTGCCCCAGCTCCCAGGGACCACCCCACAGGACCTGCAAAGCCCCTCTGAGCAAACCGAGCCACTTGAAGACCCTGAAGGTGAGCTTAAGTGACAGGAAAGGGCGTGTCAAGGACAGAGAAAAGAGAGGTCGGCTTGTTAGAAGCCACTAGTGGAGTAGCTGAGCCTGAATGAGCTAAGGAGATACGTTGAATAGTGCCTGCTACGTAGTTGAACACTCTAGAAAGGCCTGCTGTTCTTTTTTATTATCGTCGAAGATTCTGGGTCAGACAGAACTGGGTGTGGAGCCAACACCATCTGTCACATGGAAATGATAACACCTAGTTACATCACCTCATTGGGAGAGATCACCACCATCATTATTACATCACACAGAGGTGCCTGGCCGGTGGCTCAGTTGGTTAGAGTGTTGTCCCTTGCACCAAAAGGTTGCGGGTCCAATTCCCAGTCAGGGTACATACCTAGATTCTGGTTTCAATCCCCAGCGGGGTTTGTACAGGAGGTAGCTGATCAGTCTCTCTCTCTCTCTCTCTCTCTCTCTCTCTCTCGTATCTCTCCTTCTTTCAAATCAATAAAAACATATCCTCAGGTGCAGATTAAATTTTTTAAAAATCAGCCCTGGCTGCCGAAACCGGTTTGGCTCAGTGGATAGAGCGTCGGCCTGCGGACTGAGGGGTCCCGGGTTCGATTCCGGTCAGAGGAATGTGCCTGGGTTCCGGGCACATCCCCAGTGGGAGATGTGCAGGAGGCAGCTGATTGATGTTTCTCTCTCGTCGATGTTTCTAACTCTCTATCTCTCTCCCTTCCTCTC